TGTGCCTAGGTGCTTAAGATCCTTTATTAAGCAGTGGCAAAAATATCTAAAAATATAGGTACACATAAAAAAAATATAATTTTATCTTATCTTACTATACAATGTATATATACGAATTATAAGACTAAACCATATTAGATATGAAAGTTAATAGACTTCAGAATTTGTCATAAAAAAAATTGATTTATTCTATAAAATCTAATACCTCTAATTATTTTCTTAATTTTAAAGGGACCCTTTTACATAAATCCATTTTTAAAGGCGAAAATTCATCATCTTTTTTATCGCAGTCCTATAAGAATTATAAGACTAAACCATTTTAGAGATCAAAGTTAATAGACCTTAGAATTTGTCATAATAAAAGTTATTTATTTTGTAAAATCTAATACCTCAACTTATTTTCCTAATTTTTAAGAGACCCTTTTACATAAATCAATTTTTAAAGGCGAAAATTCCTCATCTTTCTTATCGCAGTCCTCCTCCACCGACGGCATCTACGTTCCCCGGCATGTGGGCCTCAACTGCGGCGTGCCCATCGAGAAGCCCGCCCTCGGAATCAACCGACTGTGCGGTTCCGGCTTCCAGTCGATCGTCAACGGAGCCCAGGACATCCTGGTGGGAGGTGCCAAGGTGGCCCTGACCGGCGGCGTGGAGAACATGTCCCAGAGCCCCTTTATCGCCCGCAACATCCGCTTTGGCACCACTTTGGGCGCCAACTACAACCTGGAGGACGCCCTGTGGGCTGGACTCACCGATACCTACTGCAAGCTGCCCATGGCCCTGACCGCCGAGAACCTGGCCGATCAGTACAAGATCACCAGGGAGCGCGTGGACGAGTTCTCCCTGCGCTCGCAGAAGAACTGGGAGAAGGGCCAGAAGGAGGGAGCCTTCGATGCCGAGATCACTCCCATCAAACTGAAGGTCAAGGGCAAGGAGGTGGACTTCGTGGTGGACGAGCATCCGCGCCCGAAGACCACCATCGAGGGTCTGAACAAGTTGCCCTCGCTGTTCAAGAAGAACGGCATTGTGACGGCCGGAACTGCCTCGGGAATCTGTGATGGAGCCTCCGCTGTGATCGTGGCCTCCGAGGAGGCCCTCAAGGAGTACAACCTGAAGCCCCTGGCCCGTCTGGTGGCCTTCTCCTTTGTGGGCGTGAAGCCCGAGATCATGGGCATTGGACCAGTGCCCGCCATTCAGAATGTCCTCAAGGTTTCCGGCCTGAAACTGGAGGATATCGATCTGATTGAGGTAAGCCAGTTGGGATTTATAATTTGAACAGATCATAATTTATAATTTACAGATCAACGAAGCCTTTGCCGCCCAGACATTGGCCTGCGCCGATGCTCTGAAATTGGATCCCTCCAAGCTGAACGTGAATGGAGGCGCCATTGCTCTGGGTCATCCTCTGGGCGCCAGTGGCTCCCGCATCACTGGTCACCTGGTGCACGAGTTGCAGTAAGTTTTTTACCACCTTTTACATCTTGAATTATTTATAATTTAAATCTTTTCCCAGGCGCAAGAAGCTGAAGTACGGCATTGGCTCCGCTTGCATTGGTGGTGGCCAGGGAATCGCTCTGCTCCTCGAGGCTGTCTAATTTTATTAAAATTAACTGAAACTCGCCCTGCATTTACACTTAAATTAGTGATGAAAATTCCGTTTTAAACCCCCCTCGATAGTAATAAAGAGATTAATTTAACTTTACAATTTATTAAATCATCTGCGAATGGAAGTTGATCATCTGCTTTCTACAAGAAAGACAACAAAGTTGGTGTTTATACTATAAAATTTCTATGCTCGCACTGCTGGACACGCCAATGGGAATTTGGGCTGGCGGATGAAGTGGGGGTCACCAGCCCGCTGTTCTCCGGAAAATCTCTTGAAGGGCCTTACATTACGAGTAGTACATGAACATGGGATGACATGGCTTAGTTCGACTGGGCGCTGGTGGAGAAGAGCGCCAGGGCGCCGCTGGCGATGCCCACCGAGAAGATGTAGTTGATGAACGGCGTCGAGTTCTTCAGGATGAAGAAGCTGATGAAGATGATGACGGCCAGGTAGATGGCGTTGTTGTAGAAGATCGAGAAGGTGGTGGCCTCGTAGTCGGCCACCTCGTTCTTCTTCCACAGGATGCGCTCGTCCTTCTCCTTGCGCGTCACCTTCTTGTCGTCGCCCACCTGACGATTGACCTCGCGGGTCACCGCCTCCTCACGGCGTCCGGCAATCTTGTGCTTCAGCTGGAACTTGATGTTCTTGTAGGCGGTGGCCATCAGGTAGGTGCTGGCCGCCGTCACCAGGACGAACAGGATGGAGCTGGGCCACAGGTCCATGTTGTGGATGCGCCAGAAGAGCCCTGCAATCGGAAATTCACTCTCATTCAGCAAGTCCCCCAAAACATACAACGTGTCACTTTACTCACAGATTGGAACCGCCGACACGATGAAGGCATTGCCGTAGAAGAGCGCCGACGACTTGGTGCTCACGTTGCGGCTGAAGTCCTGCAGCAGCAGCTCCTCCTCCTTGGTGAAGCCCGAGGACTGGACCTTCTGTTGCTTGCCGGAGCCCATTTTCGGTTGGATTTTCGTAGAGAAAGTAGCGAAGTCCGAGGTGGAGTGTACACGAATGCAGAACGCGAGTCGCTGTCGGCACGAATTGTGACGTGTAAACGTCAGAAAAGCAGGGTTGCAGTGCGGCTGTCAGTGGCCGTCGATGGCGATAAGCGAGCTGTTGTCTATCGATAATAGCGCACTATTTAAATCAAATTTCTTCTACAAAACAAAACCACAATTTAAAATTAATTTATTTATTTATGTAAACCTAACTTACAGTATTAGGCTTTTATACATTCGTTGGGTGCTTAAAAAATATGTACAAACGATTTAAAAAAAAAAATCAAAATTTGATTTCGTTTTCATTTGGCTGTGCTATTTCATAAAATTTTAACTATTTTGCTGAAGAGCACAGTTGTAATATGTATACAATAGCAACTCGGCTATTTCTTTTAACGAAATCTTTATTTTTAATGTTATTTTTTTGTTTTTATAAATAAATAAAGGACGATAACTTTTATCCAAATCTATTTTAATTTTATTGTTAAAATTAAAAAAGCTACGCAAAATAAAAAATTTAATATATTTCCTAAAATAAGGGTAGTTACAAATTCGTGGTGAGGTGAGCCGATTGTCTATTTTGGCCCCCTATGCGTCGCCGACTATCGATAGCGCAACAGGTTCTTAGGCAGCTGTGTTTGATTGTTAAAATTGCTCCGTTTAAATAAAATTAATAAGTAAGTACACAAATTCCATCCGTTTAAATATATTTCAGTTCACTTTTTGGTAATTAAAATGAATCCGAATATTAATTGGAGTTCCTAGAAGATTAGGCAGCCTACGAAATTAGAAACCGGCATCTGTCCAAAGGTCACTCCCAGTTGTTTACGTCTTTTTCGCATTTCAGATCACAATGCTCCGATCGAAAGTCCTGAGTCTGGTGGCCCGTAGTGCCTCCAACCGTCTGATGTCCACCGGCACCAAGCTGACCACCGTGGAGGTCAACGACAAGACCGGAATCGCCACCCTCACAATGAACCGGCCACCAGTAAATGGACTCAACCTGGAACTGCTGCAGGATCTTAAGAGCTCTATTGATGAGATCGAAGGCAACAAGAGCCGCGGTCTTATTCTCACTTCGGTAAGTAGGATCTTTATAACAGGTTCTTCAGTATATTAATTACATAATTTACCGTTAGTCCAGCTCCACAATATTCTCAGCTGGCTTGGATATCCTGGAGATGTACAAACCAGATAAGGACAGGATTCGCGCCTTCTGGACGCAACTGCAGGAGACCTGGTTGGCTCTTTATGGCAGCAGTGTACCCACAGCTGCGGCTATAAACGTGGGTTCCTTGAAAGCTATGATAAATTCTCCTCTAACACTAGTTATCCGAATCCTTAGGGCCACTCACCCGCTGGCGGATGCCTTTTAGCGACTTCCTGCGAATACCGAGTCATGCTGCCCAAGTTCACAATCGGCCTGAACGAAACACAACTGGGAATTGTTGCACCCAAGTGGTTTATGGCTTCCTTTTTAAGCGTATTGCCCCAACGAGAGGCGGAGCGCGCCCTTAACCAAGGACGCATGTTCACCACGGAGGAAGCCCTGAAGGTGGGCCTCATCGATGAGACTGCCAACAGCAAGGAGGAGGCCATTGAAAAGTGCACCGCCTTCATAGGCACCTTTGCCAAGGTCAATCCGCTGGCTAGGTCCCTGACCAAGCAGCAGTTCCGGGCTGCCGATCTGGCGCAGTTGGAGAACGAGCGGAAGGACGATCTGGAGAAGTTCCTGTTCTTTGTCAACCAACCAGCCGTGCAGAAGGGTTTGGGCCTTTATCTCGAGGGTCTAAAGAAGAAGTCCAAGAAGCAATAATTATATGATTTTATGCATTTTTAAAATAGTAATAAAGCCTGTTTGTATCTAATTAAATCTCTTCGTTTTGGTTATAAAATTAAAACCCTTATCAGTGCAAATTAGATAACAATAATTAAATCAGATTTATTTTAACAAACAATGACTGGCATCATTGTTTTGCAAGTTTTATTTATTTCAAGCCACTACATACATATCTTTATTTTGTAACGACTTATATCCTATATAAATAGGGTAAATTCGTTCGCCTAAAGTGCCAAAAGAAAACAAATTGCTTTTCTATTAAAAACAGTTTTTGAATTGGATTATATTCGATAATTCACTGCCGGTCAGCTCGATAGCTGATAACAGTGGGCTGGAAATTTCCCATCGAAGATCAGTAGTTCTTTAGCAGCTGAGTAGATAAGGTTTTGAAAATAAACTAGGTGAAACTAATCCCGAGGTAATTATATATACGTAAATATGTAGTAAAACTTGGTATCTAACTTTCTCAATTACAAGGTAATAATAAAACATTTTTTGTAGCTTTAAAACTCACACCAGAACAAAGGTCATCTTCTATAGATATCAAAGAAAGATGCTGCACTCCAATCTCCTAAGACTTGTGGCCCGCGGAGGTCCCAGAAGACTAATGTCTACTGCCACCAAGTTGACCACAGTGGAGGTCAACGATAAGACCGGAATCGCCACCCTCACAATGAACCGGCCTCCGGTGAATAGCCAAAATGTCCAATTGCTCGTGGACCTGCAGAGTTCCATTAGCGAAATCGAGAACAACAAAAGTAGGGGCCTCATTTTGACCTCCGTAAGTGAGTCCAATTAGTTATTTAATTATATAAACCATTATTCTATTATCCACAGGCTAGTTCCAAAGTGTTTTCAGCTGGCCTGGACATCCTGGAAATGTATAACACAAATGAGGAGCGACTCCGAATCGTTTGGACTGAGCTGCAGAACGCGTGGATTGCCCTTTATGGAACCAGTTTGCCCACGGCTGCAGCTATTAATGTTAGTATATCATATTATATTATATAATATACACTATATCAATCTTCCAGGGTCACGCCCCCGCTGGAGGATGCCTCCTGGCCACCGCCTGCGAGTATCGGGTGATGGTGCCCAAATGCCTGATTGGACTGAATGAAACCCAGCTGGGAATCATTGCCCCCAAGTGGCTGATGTCCGGATTCCTCAACGTGCTGCCCCAAAGGGTGGCAGAGCGTGCTCTCACCCAGGGACGCCTGTTTACCACGCAGGAAGCCTTCGAGGAGGGCCTGGTCGATGAGATCGCCAACTCCAAGGAAGAGGCCCTGGAAAAGTGCGCCGCCTTCATCGGCAGCTTTGCCAAGGTCAATCCTCTGGCCCGTGGACTGACCAAGCTGCAATTCCGTGCGGAAAATATTAAGGAGTTTGAAAAGATACGCGAAAAAGATGTAGCTGATTTTGTAGCTCTTGCTTCTCGCCCGGAGATTCAGAAAGTTATGGGCGATTATCTTGAAAATCTAAAGAAGAAAGGGAAGAAGTAATAAATCACTTTAGATCTGAACAGAGTCCTGCATTTAAAATTGATTTAATCGATACAATGAACACAATTTAATTTAATTGAAAATCAAATCAAAAAAATTATGAAAAATATGTACATGTCAAAATTAAATAAAAATTTTAATATATCTTTATAAACTACGCATCTTAGTTTGATCTTGAGTTGATATTTAATGTCTGATCACGAAGATACTATAATTATCAAGGTGTTAATAATTAAGAAAATAAACTTTGTGGACTAATATTTGACCAAGCGTTTACAAATCAATAAGGTTTAAACTCCTTGTCATTTTAAATAACCGAAAAAAAGGAATGATTTCCAATTACCAAAAATCTATAGCTGTTTCATTGCTCAATTACCATATTATTTCCCATAGGTACCCCCCGAAAACCACTTGTTGATCTCGATATTCTACCGCCGTATAAACTTTGCCTGGAAAGTGCCTACCAGCTGATCGTTTCGACTCGAGTGTTTGTTTTATTTGGTTCGCAACTCGACTTTATATATGATAAACAGGTTCATTTGTTTAAATTCCTGCCTGCCGCTCAGTGCGTGATTGCTGCTCCAAATCCAAAGTCGTCGTAATGTTGCGTAACAGGCTGTTAGATGGAGTCAAGCGGATGAAACCGATCCTCAGCGGTTGGCAAAACCTACGATCCCTATCGAATGGGGGGAACTCCAAGCTGACCACCATAGAGGTGGATGATAGGAGTGGAATTGCCACTTTATCGATGAACCTACCGCCTGTAAACACTTTGACCATGGACCTCATGCACGACCTCATCGACTCCATCAATCAGATCGAGAGCAACAAGAGTCGTGGTCTTATCTTGACATCGGTGGGTTGGGATTCCCCCAAAATAATTAGAAATCTGTAGTTCCTAAGAACTTAAATATTTAAAAAAAATAATTTATGATTTTTCCAGAGCAATGACAAGGTTTTCTCCGCTGGTCTTGATCTCAACGAGCTGCTGAATCCAGAAGTGGAGCGTTTGCGGTTATTCTGGACCAGATTTCAGGATTTGTGGCTAGCCCTGCATCTTTGTGGCCTGCCCACAGCAGCAGCTATCAATGTAGGTCTAGCTTTCGAGATATATGATAGATTTTTCTGTGATAACTCCCCTTTTCAGGGCCATTCACCTGCCGCCGGCTGCGTTTTGGCCACTGCCTGTGAATACCGGGTCATGCTGCCCAATCTCTTCATTGGAATCCATGCCACCCGTTTCAGCTTCGTCATCTCCAAGTGGATGATGAACTCGTACCAGAGCGTCCTTCCCCGCCGGATTGTCGAGCGGGCCCTCAACCAGGGTAAGCTCTTCGCCACCCAGGAAGCTCTGGAGGTGGGCCTCGTCGACGAGGTGGCTTCTAGCAAAGAGGAGGCGATCGCCAAGTGTGCCGAGTTTATAGCCACCTTCGACAAGGCCAATCCGGTGGCCAGAAGCCTCACCAAGCGAATGTGCCGCGAGCCGGATGTGCGGGAGCTGCTCAAGGATCGGCTGGGGGATCTGAAGGAGTGCGTCGACTATGTCATGACTCCACTTTTCCAGGAGGGACTGTGCGCCCATCTCGAGGGTCTTAAGAAGAGGAAATAGAGCGATTCCAGAAGCTGGTGATCAAATTGCATTTATTGTATATGGTTTTATATATGTGTATTAAAATTGTTAATCCGAAGAGCTGCAATCCGGGTGCAATTCTCTTGGAAGGTTGGTCAAAGCAGCAGTCATCATCTCCATAAAGGCATTGATCTCCAGGATCTTGGCACGATGGCGGTCTACTTCTTTGCTGAAAAGAAATAGATAGTATAAAACATCCCATTTATAGAAAGTATATTTACTTGTTGAGCTTCCCAATCATGTCATCTATAAAGTCTTTGCTCCTTTGAGCCATGCGATCCTCTCGCTCATCCACCCGCATGGAATGGGAAGTCCTCATGCCCTCCACCAACTGAAGAACTGCCTCGCGATCGTCCACACACTTTCTAAGCTCCTCGGGAATGCTATTCAATTCGTTGCGTATCAGCTTGGTGGAGATGAACTGGGTCACAATCTCCGTCATGTTGTGGGCAAAATGGCTGCACAGATCGCGCAGCTCCTGGAAGATCACCTGAGCCTGCTCCACGAAGCTGGCCATCAGTTCCGAGATCTTGCGATCGAAGTTTAGTGTGGAATCCTAGAATGAAACAACAAGAGAGAACGCTATAGTCGACTATCTAATACCCGTCTATCAGCTAAAGGGAGTGCGAGGGAGATGGGTATTAAAACTTTTTTGATTGTGCATAACTTTTTAATGAATGGTCTGATTTGAAAAATGTCTACACAACAAAATTGCATTAATACTTCTCGGAAATCTATAAAGGTGTGGGCGCCAGACACATTTAAAAATCGTTAGTGGGCGATTGTGGGCGTTAGAGGGGGCGTGGCGATCGGCTGAAATAAACTTGCGCTGCGTAGGAAGCCTAAGAATATGCGTGGAAAATCTCAACTTTCTAGCTTTTGTAGTTTCCGAGATCTCAGCGTTCATACAGACGGATGGACAGACGGAGTAATGGGTATAAATAGTATTAGATGGGCTAATAAGTAATCCCCTTAGTTCACCTGAACCGCCTCGTGGAGATGGAGTTCCTGGGCCATCAGACTTTCCCACATCTCGTTGAGGGCATCCTCAAAGTGGCCACTAAGCGTATCCAACTGGTTTTGCACCTCCTCCAGTTCATCATCCCGCTGATCCAGTTCCCTCCATTTCAGACGCATCTCGTCGAAAGTTCGCTCCTTGTATTGGAGGAACTCCTCGATCTGCCTTTGACCCTGGGACTGCAGCTCCTCCTGACCCTCGTGCAGATTGGCCTTAAAGTCTCGAATCTCCTCGTCACGCTCACCGAATCGCTCCAGTCCCAAGCGATATATTTGCTGAGTGAGCTCGTGCACATCCTTGGAATACTCCTCGCAGAGTTCCTGAGCCTGCGAACCCACCAGCATCAAGATGCGCCCGTCCTCGTCGTCTCGCCAGAGGGAATCGTACAGCTGCTGGCCATCCAGATGCTCCACAAAACTGGAGGCCAGTCGATCCGCCTCGGCCATCTCACGAGCCTCTGTTTCCAGGCCCTGGATCTCCCGCTCCTGTTTGTCCTCGATTTCGCGCAGCTCTCGACTTTTGAGGGAAGGTAAATTAATGGTGAAGTTTTGGTAATGGGTTAACCACTTACTAGAAACGTTTCTGGGCCTCCTCCCGCGTTTCTGCCTTGATGAAAACGCATTCGTAGTAGTCCAACTGGGGCAGAATGGCGGTTACGTAGAGGGATAGTGGAAAATCCGGCAGTCTAGCTATGGGATTACCCTCTAAATTGAGCACTTTCAGGGTGCTCACAAAGCGTAAGCGTTCGATCTGGAATTTTTGATCACAAATGTTATCAAAATTTCTTTACTTAATAAGTTTTTAAAATTTTAGTTCCAAACAAATAAAGTGTCATATTAACATATGTAAATATGATATCATATCATATTCAAACCTTACCCCCTCCACCGTGTCGATAAGATTATTGCCAATGCTGAGAATAACCAGATTTTCCAAAGTCTGTATGTTCTCGATTTTCCGTATGCGATTGCTAAAAAGTGAGAGTTTCTCAAGGTTAACCAGTTTCTCCAAGTTCTCAATCCTTGTAATGTAATTAAAGCTCAAATTGAGATCCTTGAGAGCTGTTAGCATTTCGAGATGCTCAATGACTTCGATCTTGTTGCAGTTCAAGCACAGCTTAGTGAGATTGGGCATCATCCAGAGGTGGTCAATCCTGAGGATGTCTGAGGGAAAGGTTCTATAAGATGAAATAATTCTTTCCTTTCCAAATCACTCACTCTTGAACTCCAGTCGCATGGTGCTAATGCGATCATAGACCACTGGTTCCAGTTGGTGGAGTCTTCTTGCCTCGCCCTTTTGACCCTCCTCCAGATAGGCGGTTTCGATCATGCTGCGATCTATGATGCCTGGTTCCGGGCAGTTGATCTCCTCCAGGAAGCCCCTCAGGGGCTCCTCCTCCTCCTCCTGCTCCTCGGCGGCACTCTCACCTGGCTGACTGCTGACGGGCTCATCCATTGCGGTAGGATCTCAAAAGATGTATAGGGATAATAAATCCTCGTGGTCTCCTAATAGACTCCTGGTTGCCAAGGAAACCCGAAAAACATGGCCCTGCCTAGCAACCATCGTTCGTATTCCACCCTCAGAGAACCGAGAACTTCGGGGACTACTAGAACTTTAGCCGGCATTCGGTTCTCTCCAGTTTTTGGGGTTTCTCTCCCGGATCCGAAGGGTGGTCTACTTAGGGCTGCGGTTGCTTGGGTCCTCGCGTTGTTGTGGATATCTCACCCGTCAGTTGTTGGTGTTTGCTTATCAAATAAACTACTACTGTTCAAGGGATATCCGTTTCGGGAGTAGCCATAAATCGCATTTAATTCGGACTAACAAATTAAAGCAAGCCAATTCGGTTTCAAATGCAATTGCGTTTAAGGTACGAGTGATGGGAAAGATACTCCTTCTTCATCTTTAAAAGCTAGATAAAATAAGTGGAAGAAGGTAGAAAGAAGACTTTTTGTCAACCCCCAGGGGCTTCAATCGATAAAGTGACCCCGAACATTTAAGTTTGTTTATTTGTTTGTACATGGTGCGAAAAGTCGCATAGTTGCTTATCGGATATAGCAGTGCATATAGCATATAGCATATAGTAATCGGCTAATCGGGCGTCGGATGTGCGTGCCTAGAGTTTAAGTGAGTCAAATGTGAGTGGTTCAAGGCTGTAGGGCAGGATTCAAGAAAAAGCCTGGTCGAAACGTGGTTCCAGTTGCCCCGACACCGCCTCCTCCTCCGAAATTGCAAACCAAAACAATCCGTATACATATATATATCCACCTAAATGGGATATTGAAGGTGGGAACGGTTCGTATACTATGAATAAATTATCGCCCAAGGAACTAAATTCGCCAAGTGACCACAAACCCATTACGACACATGACCAAAACGTCTTGAGTGCAAAATAAAGTTAACAGTCCCAAGTATTTAGTATACTGAAAAATGTATTTAAGAACTGGATAATAAAGTGCAAAGTTAGATCAACAGAAAAAAATCGCTGCTTATTGATTCCTGAATATGTCCAGCTAACACGTTCAAATTTTTGATAACGAGTGAATTCTTAATAACTTATAAACCAACAAAGAACTCCCACACGCAATTTTAAAAGGGGTTGAAAGAGACAATACTTTTGTGGGGGTTAATAAAACACGAAGGAAATTTATTATAACCTAGTATTATTGTGTTAAAATCCCAAGGTCTACGAAATATCTTTCAACTCCAATACTTCTAAAGATAATTAACGTTTTATTAGGGAGCACCTAGCCCAAAAGTAAATCTTTAAATTTAAACGACCTCTCAGCAACAGAAAACTGCAAATCCAATTATTTCCCACTTATAAGTTAGCTTGTTGTACTCGAAATACCACGTTTTAGCTTTCTATTCAAGAACATTAAAGACAATTTGGGTCACGCAAATAAATTAATATTTTATTAGGGACCTCCTAGACCAAAAGAGAATCTTCCCCCGATGTATGCCAAAACAAGAAGTAGTACAACCCTCAGAGCCATCTTTTTGGTAATGGAGAACATTTTTAAGTTGTTTTCTTTTATAAATACAAATAAACAGCGTAAAATCAATTTTTGCAATGATTAGAAAAGCTTTACGGAACATTCCATTCCTGTCATTTCATTTGAACTGTAGAGATACTCTTAGCTACAAAGAAACTGAATCTTCAATTATTTCTATAACATTTTTAAGAATTTAAAGAATTAGATGTCATAATAAAGATGTCAAAAAATTAAATGGTGTTAGATAAGATGGTATAACGATTTAAGATTTAGTTTAAAATGTTAACCAAGTGTTCGTTTTATATTACTTTCGATTTATTCTGACACAAACAAATTAATTTGTATTCAATATATAGAATCCTTCTAGCTCCTTAACTGATTCGTAGTTAACGATTGTCAGGATAATCATAAATCATGTCCTGAAATTCTGCCCTTCCCTTTTACTTCATGCCACCGATGACCCTGATGGTGAATTCGTTTTTGGGTTAAATAAATTTGGTCAAGTTCTTAGCCGGCTGCCCGAGATCGATATATTGATTTCAATTAACTGGGCTGGTATCCCAAAATGGAGACTCACGAAAAGCCCAAGTTGGATTCGATTCCATTCCATGTTTGGTGCAAGTCATTTAATTCAGCTGTGACTGTGATTCCCTTGAAGTCCGCACACGTGGGCGTTACTCATAAGTTATTGAAGACCCCTCCTTAAGTGGCGTACTTACAAGGTATACCTTTGATTTTCCCTATATGTATGTAGTTTCATCCGAAGAATGTGTGAAGAGCTGCCCCCATCTGCCTAAGCATGAACCGCTATATCACGCTGACCCAACTGGGCGATGGAACCTACGGCACTGTGGTCCTGGGCCAGCGAAAGGACACCGGCGAGAAGGTGGCCATCAAGCGCATGAAGCGCAAGTACTACTCCTGGGAGGAGGCAATGAATCTGCGCGAGGTCAAGGTGGGTTGAGCTATCCCTACTCCCAATCTCATCTAAGTAATTCCCATTCCTTGCAGTCACTGAAGAAGCTGTCGCATCCGAACATTGTCAAGCTGAAGGAGGTGATTCGGGAGAACGACACCCTGTACTTTGTGTTCGAGTACATGAAGGAGAACCTCTACCAGATGATCAAGGACCGGGACACGCATCTTCCCGAGCCGGAGCTGAAGAGCATTCTCTTTCAGGTGAGCTGCAGTCTTATTTATACCCGTTACTTTTATACCCTTTACTCGTATAGTAACTGTCTGTCTGTCCGTCTGTATGAACGCTGAGATCTCGGAAACTATAAAAGCTAGAAAGTTTGGATTACCCACACATATTCTTGGGCTCCCTACGCAGCGCAAGTTTATTTCAGCCGAGCGCCACGCCCCCTCTAACGCCCACAATCGCCCACTAACGATTTTAAAATGTGTCTGGCGCCCGCACCTTTAAAGATTTCCGAGAAGTATTAAAGCAATTTTGTTGTGTATATTCATACTCATCGAAATGTAGAATACATTTTTTTAATCGGACCATTCTTTAAAAAGTTATGCCCGATCAAAGTTTTATATCTCCATCTTCCTCGCTCTCCCTTTACTTGAGTAATGGGTATCTGATAGTCGGGGCACCCGACTATAGCGTTTTTTTTTGTTTTTCCTCTTAAATATCAACTTCTTGCTCTAGGTTCTGACTGGCCTGGCCTTCATGCATCGCCACGGCTTTTTCCATCGCGACCTAAAGCCGGAGAACCTGCTCTGCTCCGGTCCGGAGCTCATCAAGATAGCCGACTTCGGGCTGGCCAGGGAGATCCGATCGCGGCCTCCGTTCACGGACTACGTCTCCACGCGCTGGTACCGCGCTCCCGAGGTTCTATTGCACTCCACCAACTACGGCAGCACCATCGACCTCTGGGCCATGGGCTGCATCATGGCCGAGCTCTACACCTTTCGTCCGCTCTTCCCGGGCAGCAGCGAGGTGGATCAGCTCTTCAAGATTTGCTCTGTGCTGGGAACGCCAGAGAAGGTGATTGAAATCCAGTCTAAATTGTTCTTGAATCTTATTAATCCCTGGTTTCTCCCACAGGGCGACTGGCCGGATGGATATCGGCTGGCCAGCATGATCCACTTCCGCTACCCGGACTGCATCAAAGTGCCACTGAGCAGCGTCGTCAGTCGCTGCAGCCAAAACGGCCTGGATCTGCTGGAGGATCTGCTGGCCTACGATCCCGACAAGCGACCGACGGCCCAGCAGAGTCTCAAGTATCCCTATTTCCATGCCCTCAAGCGGATCTCGCCCACGGCGGCCACCAAGGCGAATGTGCGGCTCAGCTCCAAATATGCGGCCTCCAATGGTGGCGCCGTCTCCAACAATGTGCTTCCGGTGCAGGAGAAGCTGCAGGCGGTCACCGATTTGCTGCATCAGACTAATAACAACAACAGTAACCACTCCAATCTGGGCAAGAACAGCAATAACAACCTGACAACCAAGAATGGTGGGTTGCCCAGAAAGTACCAAACGAAGCTGAGCTTCCTCAGCAGCAATGAGTTGGGTGGCGGATCCCAGGCGGATTCCTCCAGTCTGGGAGGAGGAGGAGCCACGGTGGATGGAGGAGTTCCTCAGGTGCCACAGCTCCAAAACGGAGGAGGAGAGTCCATAAACGACATCTACTTAAATCGCAACATCTCGCAGCTCTTTGGACTGCCAGCAGCGGGCTCCCAGCAGCAGCAGCAGCACCATCCGAACGTCTCCTTCAGCTCGACCATGTCCCGGAATGCCGGCGCCATCTATGTGAATGGAAGCCATCACCTCACCTACGACACGGCCAACATGAATGCCAAGAACAATGCCAAGCTCGTGGTGGGCGTGGGTGCCTCCAATGGCGGCTACTATGTGCCGGTGGCCAGGCCATCGCTCCTAGGATCCGAGGCCAAGGTCTACAACGTGTTCTCCAAGGTCAGTGCCAGCCAGGCTCCGCCCAGCCTCATTGTGCGACAGCCGCAGATGCAAATGCAAATGCAACTGCAGCCGGAGGTGGGAGCTTCTATGCCCATGCGACTCTCGGGAAGATCGCGAGCAGCGGCTCAGGAGGTAAAAGTGGGTGCCCTCAAGTCGGATGATTTGGACCTCATACTCGGGTGAGTTGGGAGATGAGAAGAGATGAAGTGCGCACCTTTTAAATCCCTAAGACCTTTTAAATCATCCTTGTTTTTCATCCAAGTCTGATCTTTATATAACATTCTTCAAAAATTTTCTTTTAATAAGTCGTCTTGAAAAAAAATGAGTCATGTTTTCAAGAATTTAAATATTCAATATTTTAATTTCCAAAGAGTTTTTAAAAAAAGTTGTACATATTCTGCAGTTGAACTCCCAAACGGTTTAGCAAAATATATTTTTCATAATTTTAAATATTTAAATTTGAAAATATTACATTTAACAATTGAATATATTTTAAAATTTTTTTTACATTAATATTAAAAATTCTTTTTTTCTTACGTAAAATATTAACTTTGTGTATAATAATTTCGACAGCGATTATTTGATTTGATTTCTATATGGTTTTTTTCTATTACATTTTTTTTTAAGTGTAAAGTTTTAATTTCTTTTTTTATCACATTAAAATATGCTAAATAACACAGGTCAACACAATGGACTTTATTAAAAGGTGCAGGCCTATTGGCATTAAAATATGTTAATATAGACGGATATAAGCATATCTGCATACTTAGTTTTCGCGTTTAACGGGTGGTATTTGGGCAATCGCGGTTTGAAAAAAATAGCAACATTTAATTTTTTGATTTAAGATATCTTCGAGGGTCTGTGCTCAGTTGTAATAAAACTTATGCCAAAAAATTGCTTAGATGCCCTTCTACATTATTGCATTTAAGGTTTCATCATAATTTGAGTCAATCAAAGCCTATGAGCCATTGAAGTAATTTGTTCACCTCTATTCCCAACCAACTTGATGCGGTGAACACGCTTAAAAAAATACAAGGAAAAATATATGCCCTAAAATATTTAACAGGCATCTAGAGGCGTCTTTCACCGAATTTTTTCGCGATTGCACAAATACCACCCGTTAAACTCGAAAACTAAGTATGCAGATATGGTTATATCCGTCTATATTAACACAATTTAATGCCCATAGGGCTGCACCAAAAACACTGTTGGCCTGTGTAATTATTATCTTCTTAAATAAATTTTTGTTGTTCAATTTTCTGAGTGTTTAAAGCACTTGTGAGGTAAAGTAGGTTTGGAACAAGATCATGATTATCTCCCTAATTCCATGTACACCTGGCACATCGCTCTGTTTTGTACTGTTTTGCACCCAAGTAATCCAGTGTGCCCGTACCCCAACCACCTCACCGTGTGTCTCTCCGTCTCTCTCTCTCCCCCGCGCAGTTCCAAGCTGAAAACCTCCGCCAAGCGGCAGCGCAATGCCAAGGCGAACATCCTGCTGGAGGACCTCTTCGGGCAGCTGTCCATGGACTCGGACAGCGATGGGAAGTATCCGCACACGGTGCCGCCCACGCAGCAGGCGAAGAGCGGGAAGACATCGAAGACTGGCACAAGTGGCCCTCAGGAGCGGGATCTCTTCGGGGAGAGCTTCCTGCCCAGGCCGGGGCTGCGGAAGAAGGCCACCCAGAGCAGTCTGGAGGTGAACAACGGCAGCCACGCGGACTCGCTGTAAGTGGGTGGGGTTCAAGGTCACCCGCCGCCGGCCTGCATGCAGTGTAAATGTATATGACCTTGACCGTGCTTCCTTGCATCCTCATGATCATCATCCTGTCTCTCTCTCTACATTGTACTCTGTCTCTCTTTCTCTCTCTCTGTCTGTCCTGTCATCGTTTTGTGTGTTTTCATTTGCTTGTCATTGAACATTGAACACTTTGTGTGGGTGCCCCAAGTGATAACTCCTCCTCGTCCTCCCCCTCAATTGATGAAGAATGTCGCTTTTGGCCCATAAGGTAAAAACCAACATTCGCCATTGAGCTGTAAATACGTTTGAGTAGCAGTAGAGACTCTTAGAAAACACCATATCATATCATCATCGTACTTGGGGGAAGTTCTGGTACTTTTATCGGGAATTTCCCCTTCTGTAGTCGAGCACTTTTAATTTGCCTGTCTCTTCTAACACAATTTTCTAGTAGAATAGTTCTAAGATTAGTTGATTATTATTAAAAATATTTTTCTTTTCTGTTCTTAATACACTACTATATAGATAAGACACCTATTTACAAATTATAAAAAAGATATATCTTGTTGAGGATTTAGTAAATCTACGTTTCTTACACAGAGAAAAATTATATTAAAAAATTATATTAATTTTGGTCCCATCTGTTTTCATATCAAAATGATATTTCCGAACATATGATTTTGTACCATATTGATATGAAACCATACCATTTTGTTATGGAAAAATTTATATGAAACAATATCAGTTCCATATGGTTCAAGGCCAAGAAAATCATCCAAAAAATCCCATATAAATTCCGTAACAAGATACATCTCGTTTAAGATAACCCATTTATTTGACAAATATCAAATGATGTACCCTCATATTTTCAGAGCTCCCAACACCCAAAAGGAGAAACACGCCGTGGCGTCCAGTTTTCCCTGGGATGAATCCAACAAGACGGAGGACGAGAAGCTAACGGCTTGGATGGTGGCCGAAAACGGTAACTTGGTTTTGGGTGGTGGTCATCAGCAAGCGTAGAAGTCGAGAGCACTCCACTATAAGTAGTTACTTAGCAATCACTTAATTTCGAATGGTAGTGTAAATTCAAGAAGCTCTGTGCCTGGATTTAAGTATTCCTTATTTCAATTCCCAGGATCGCTGCTGGAGAATAAGTTCTGAGGAGATCGACCCGCGAAATGCCGTTGTACCTGAAACAGAATGGAGTTAATTTTTAGTGCCTGTTGATCTGCGTATTTTCGAACTGAAGCCAAGTCCAAATCACCAAATCATCGGATCGGCGTGTGGAGCTAGTCTAGTCTCGATATAATGTTATTGCTGTGATACCACTAAGCTAAACTATTGTGTAAAGTACCCCCTACGAACTTGAGTCTCGAGTGTAAGTTGTACTCTAAGCTACTATACGATAATATAATCCGAGTGAGTTTTGAATCGATTGCAACAGTTGGAGGCAAGTGCAGGGATTTGGTTTCATTTCCCCTTATGGGCGAGGTATATGGGTTGCATAAGGTTTGATATTCGATTTCAGCCCTTCGTAAGTTGGCCACTGCGACAATGGGCCAAACGGCGGCTTATAAAAGAGGTCTGAATCCAGCTCTTAGTCATCAGTCGAGTGCTCTCCATCGCTCCAATTGCAACTTCAACTTGTTCGTCATGAGTGTCTTGGTAAGTTAGGATATAATATATATTATATTCTACTATATATATTATATATTTTGTAGCATTCCAGCATCGCCTTCTGCCTGATCCTAAGCGTTCTCTGCGCTGTTCAGGCTGGGATTATTGCCAGCCATCCGGATGAACTGATTGCCAGTCCTGCCCAGTACGAGTTCCACTACTCGGTCCACGATAGCCACACTGGCGATGTGAAGGATCAGTTCGAGCACCGACGTGGCGAATACGTAACGGGTCGCTACTCCCTCATAGAACCCGATGGCCACCGTCGCATTGTGGACTACACCGCCGATCCGCTGCTGGGTTTCAATGCTCAAGTTCGTCGGGAACCGATATCTCGCTACTGAGATGGTTTCTTAGGGGAAGTAATAAAGGACTTGCACAACTGACCGGATACGATTTGGCTCACTTAATTATAAGCAACCATGATAGAAAGATGTGTATTCATAGAATAAATCTAAAGGCTGTTCTCTTTATATTCAAGTGGATTTTAGGATCTACGGAGTTTCTTTAGCTGTAAGAGGATTTCTATAGTTCAGACACTTATTACTCTCTTGAAAAAAACTATCTACTAGTATAAAAAATAATCAATATAATTACTTGATGATACATACTTACAATGTATCAACCGAATGGAGTAATTATTATCATAATTTTTATTATTTGTGGTAATACGTGGTAGATACATTTTTTCTGAAAAAACTTCTTGAATATTTATTTATTTGAATAGAAAGATAGGATTTAAAATCTATCTAAATTTTAGATATATCGATTTTAATAGACCTATTTACCAGGTAACTTCCATGATTCTTAAAAGTTTAAACACGTAAAATTATGTTTTCTAAAAATGCATTTATTGCCTTCTATTTACACATAGTATTACACAGATGAGATAGGGACTCGCCGGCCATCGTGTTATGGCGTTTTTTGATGGCCGGGTGTCGAAGAGTCTTAGTAGAGATTTCAGAAAAGAGGAAAGGAAAGGAAGATAGGTACAGAGGTTTATATGATACGAGGTGTCTGGGTAGTTGAGCAATAGTTCAGATACAGATACAGATGCTGGTGCGGATGCGAATGCGGATGTGTCGTCGTCGATGCGATGAAGTCAGTGTTTGCTATCTCTCTCGATCAATCCCGGCCAGAGTTTAGTGGTAGAGGCCGAGGGGCAGTTTGGCGGGGGCCAACAGCTTGGGGGCCGCATAGGCCAGCGGCAGGGGGCGGGGGCCAGGAGCTTGGCAATGGGCGCGGCCTTGATCACCTTCTGGCCGAGGGGATCGCGACGGACCACCGCATTGAAGCCGTTGTGGGCATCCGAGGTGTAGTCCACGGTGCGCAGATATCCATCGGCATCGACCAGCGTGTACTGACCCTGGACCTGGTCGCCCTTCCTGGACTCCGTCTGGCTCTTGATGTCGCCGGTGTGCTCGTCGTGCACCGAGTAGGCGAAGTCGTAGTGGGCCGGTGCCTCCACCTCGATGGTCTTCAGCAGGGGCTTCACAATGGCCGCCGGTGAGTGGTAAACGGAGCCGAGGGGCAGCTCGATGGCGGCGACGGCTCCAACGCCCAGGATGAAAAGTGAAACGAGCTGGAAAAATTAATAGGGAGTTAGAAAAAAAATTTACTTCTTCACTTTATGAAAAGATTTTTTATAAATATTATTTTTAAAATATTATTTTTTAAATATTTATATGGATATTGGATATGAAATCATCCAATTTAAAATATGTAATTTAATTCTTAGAATCTTCTCCCCTTTAAAAAACAATTTTATTTGTAAATATTATTTTTTAAATATTTATATTCATGATTTCATATCCAATTTAGGAGCTATTGAGATTTGTATATCCTAATATTGTTTTCACGTTAGAAAAAATATATAATTTAATTCTTAAAATCTTCTCCACTTTAAAAAACAATTTTATTTATAAATATTATTTTTAAAATATTTATATTGATGATTTCATATCCAATTCACTTTAAAAAACAATTTTATTTATAAATATTATTTTTAAAATATTATTTTTTAAATATTTATATTGATGATTTCATAACCAATTTAGGAGCTTTTGAGATTTGTATATCCTTTTCACTTACAGCGAACATTTTGGCTTGGACTTGTATTGGGATTTGGTGGATTTGCTGACTTGGTGGCTGCTGCGGCTCCTGCACTGAACTATGTCTCCAAGTGTCGCGATCGCAACTTTTATAGTCAAAGCACTGCTCTCTGGCCCGGCCCCACCACCTCCAATCTCTTGATGGGTGCCACGCTCCGAGCTCACGCACCGCACACTCCACATAAGCCACCCAAAAAAACCGATCACCCAGCGAACCGGAATCCGTGATGGCTAATGCAAAATTGTTATTATATTTTTATTTCATTTTTTTTTGGCAAATCTTGTACTCTGGTAATAAAACATTTACACTGCTCCACTTTGGGCAACAATGTAGCCACTGTAAGCTCTTGTTTCTGGTTTGTCAATCGGTTCCTATGGGTCTACCTCCACCCAAACCTTGAAACAAGTGAAAGTTAAGGGAGGTATTTTTAATTGAGGGAGAATACGAATAATTATTATTGATTGGTTGTCATCAGTAATCCGAATTTCAAAATATTATAAGAAAAGAAATTGTAAAAATTATAACACATGTTTTATATTTAAAATTGATGGGATGGTAAATCATAGAAATGACTTAAGCCATCTTCTCACAATTTTTAAATAGCTGTTTAACAAAAGATTGATTTATTTATTTATTCTTCATCGAGTACATCTAGATCTGTCCTTTAAATGGTATTCGAGTTAGATAAGTTTGAAAATAAAATATTTCATTTATTATTTAATCTAATATCTTATCTATTTCTGAAGGTTCTTTTATTTATTATCATGTATTACGTTATTTGGTTCCTTAATATAAATGTTCAAAAATATGTGACCTATTAAATGGTTAATAAGTAGCTTCTCCTTGAATTTGAATGGTACTTCAATTAGCTACCGCCAAATTGTCTGACAAACTGAATGGCCAAAAGAGCAGGGAAATCGCATTATCGCAGTCATATCAAACAAATTGTACGTTGACATTCGCAGATCGGCTGATCGGCAACAGGCGAGAAATGTCGCTAAGAGCTTTGCCGATTTTCCACTTAATTAATTAATCAAATTGCAACATCCGCCCGAGTGCCGCCCAAGATCGCTGCTATGGCTCTGGATCTCGATCTCGATCGGTATCTGGATCTGGTTCTGGGCTGGTCAGGTGGCGGAGCCGTCGCCTTCGCCTTTCACGCATGTGCTCCGCACACAAATCAATGCGACAAAGGCTCCAAACTCGTTGCCAAATTCGATATGAAGTAATAAGCTGGGCAAGTGGTTGGGTGGGGGTCAGGTGGAGTTGGATGGAGTGGAGTGGAGTGCCTCGGTGCGTATGCGTACTTGTATCTTGCGCCACATTCATTTAGAACCACATTACGATTGCGGTTCGAGTGGTTTGACTGTGACTCTGAGTGGTCGTGGACCAATTTGGCATAGCTGCCGCCTGCTCACGCACTTGGACAGATCGGTGTTCCTCCCTCCTCCTGGCCAGACTCCATTTCCATACTCCGCGCGGGCGTGCCGGCTGTCGTTCGCTGTCCAGCGTCGTCGCCCAACCCAATCAGCAAACAAGACATATAAATTTAAGTAGTCTCTATAAATAATAAGTTGTGTCTACTTAGCGACATGTACACCAGAGTAGATCGTGTTCGATACCAGATACTAAGCAGAGCTAAAAAGTGCACGTTTGTTTTGGCAATTCTGTCAAATATGCCAAGCGAATGGTTAGTTAGTTCTTTCGGTATGATCCACACTTTGAGCGACAAATTACATTGTACTTTTTGGCATTTCTAAAGTTTTTATTATTGATTTCAGTTGCGTTATATGTTTTGCTTGAAATATCAAAAAATTGCAAATAGATTACATATGTATTTCACTGACATCTCTTTTTGGTTTTCTGTTAATTGTTCAGCTGTGACAACAATACGACGCACTACACATAATCATTTGTCTCACATATGAATTCTTGATGTAGAAAAGGTTAAGTAAATCGCTAGCGTATTGTACTATATAGAGCCGTATATGTTCAGTAATTGGCAATTTTGAAAACGTTGAATCTATTGGCCTTGCTTTGCCTGCTCCGAACATCATCGCTCGTCCTTAAAATAATAAAATAATATATAGAACACAATTACAACAATCAAAACGAGTGGATGATCTTTGGGGCAGGCAAAAAGCCGCTGAGGTAAAAAAAAAGCAAAAGCTGTTAACAAGAAAAGGTGCAACGGTCTACGCCTCTCATAATGCTCCCGGTTTCAGGGAGAACGATAGCTTGGGCCTGGAATTGTTTTTGCCTAATATGACCTTCTGCTCCTCCTTGACGCGCTTCTCCTGCTCCTTGCGCATGCGTTGCCGCTCCTCGTCCATAAGGCGCTGTTCCTCAATTATTGCTAACCGTTCTTCGGCCTATGGAAAGTAAAAAATCACTTAGAATCACTTTAAAAAAATAGTTTATAAATATACTCACCAGTTTTCTTTGCGCCTCTTCGATTTTGCGATTGTTTTCGGCCAAAATTTCTTCGAGCTCTTCGCGTTTCTGCTTTTCATCCTCCTATAAAACCCAAACAAAATGACGATTAACACAAAGTCGACTCTTCAGGCGGAAGCTTAGAGCTAAGATAAAAATAAACAGTCTCTTGACATCAGCGATGCAAACTGTGCGACGAATTCGACGCACGTTTGTGGTTGCAGTTTTTTGCTTGATGAGCTGCAAAGGCAGTTAGAATCTAGTTTTATGTTTAACAATAAGTTACAAAGAAATATTCGGTAGAAAGTAAAACATTTAGTAGTGTCTAATAAGAATGTTTAAAGTAGGTTGTTCTTTTAGTTTATTACAATAAAGGAGCACACAACATAAACAAATGTACTAGTAGTATTTGCTAAATGGTTGGTCTTCATTTATTTTTTTTTTTTTTATTGTTGCTACTTACTATTTAAATAGGTCATTATTCCAGTACAAAGGCTAAATTTGTGTTAATTTATAGGTTTTTTTTTTGCAGATTTTTCGATTTGGGTTTATGATTTGTGGAGGTTTTTTTTTCGCTATTCCAGACGTATATAAATTGCTCGCAAAAACAAAAAGCTCAACGCACAAGTACGGTCAAGAATCCAATGCGAATCCGGCTTTAAAAATCTTACAGACTGAGTTCTATGGGGCTAAACATTTGGGTCTCTTTGGCGTCCTTTCGCCGATCATCCAGTTGGCTTATCACATCGCTGGCGTCGTGGGAAACTCACCCGTCATCTAGTGGCATTGGTTGGCAAACTTTGCCTTGCATGCAGCGTACAGTTGGGACTAAACTCAGTCGGCCCGCCCCACAACTAGACAGCCTAACTACCCGGACTAACTGAGGGAAACCACTGCGATTTTATCTTTGATTTCTTTTTAGGTGGGTGTGGAGGAAGTGCGTCCATGGACCAAACCCTGGGCAGCGGGCTTGTCCGGCTCGGCGGCTCAACGAGGAGTGCAAGCGAGTGTTTTGCGTTCGGGTCGGGTCACAAAACACCCACGTTCGTTGCACGGGCCTACTGAAGCGGAGTTTGCGCGCAATAACAACAACAACGAGTTACAAGAACCAATACCAAAATTAAAATGATACAGTATGTGGGTAGGAACGAACAAAAGATGAAGCTAAGATAAGTATGCAAGAGGTCTGCAATAAATGGGCATCAAAACTGTGACACATGCGACACTTGGCAATGTCGTCATTTTGGCTTTTTTGGTAGGAAAAATAAAAAATTACAAAATTATTGGCAAGAAGAAAAGGGGGGCGAGGGCGAAATCAGCCGTGGCGTTCTCATCCCGGCTCACTGGGTGGCTGGCCTGCAGGGCAGCAAATGTGGGGGCTCTGAAAAGGCGCGAGTGGTTAGTGATGTAGCCGGTTAGTGGGCGCCCTTGGCCGCGGGGTTATGCAAGCAATCTAGTACGGGGATGGTGATGGGACATGGTGGGATGACGATGGACGACGAACAACGCCCAGTGAGCCGCCGCTGAGAACGCCGCCGGCGGATCGATTTCGCGTGACGCGGTGGAGACGACTGTTTGAACTGCTGTTTCGGGTTTGTTCGAGTGTACGGTAGATGTGGCATTGTGTACGTTTTTCTGACAGTGATAGCAGCAGTCGTCCAGCGGAATCTGAATACGAGCACCTACCTCGCGCCGGCGTTCTTCTTCGCGTATCTGCTCGCGCCGCCGCTCCAGCTCCAGCATCATTTCGCGCTCCATCTCGGCCTTGGCGGTCTCGACGCGTCTGTTGACCTCCTGCTCGATCTCGTCGCGCCGCTTCTCCAGCTCCTCCTCGACGCGCTTCTTCACCAGCATCTCGATGCGCTTGGCGGCCTCCTCCTCGATGGTCTTCTGCTCGACCTCCTTGGCCCGCCGCTGCCGCTCCATCTCGGCCAGGCGCTCGACCTGCAGCTGGTTTTGCTGCAAAGGATGGGAAATGTTTATTATAATGTCTATTGTATGAAGTTGGAGAAAGAGCCCTGCATGGGTAGCCGGATGTTTTAAGAAACTCAAAAGCAATTTCTTTAAATTACCTTTTATTTATCATTTTTAGGTATTTAAAATAAGTAAACAAAAATCTTTAAAACAAAATGGGGCATGAATTCTTTAGGGTTTCTTGAAAAGAGTATAGCATTTTGGCGCGTGAATAAGCTTTTTTCGGGAAGCAGGGCTCTTAATGGGTAACCGGATGTTTATGGGACCCAAAAGAAATTTCTTTAAATAATCTTCTATTTAACATTTTTAGGTACAACAATAAGTAAACACTAATCTTTAAAACCAAATTTTGCGTGAATTCTTTAGGATTTCTTGAAAAAGAGTATAGAATTTTGGCGCGTGATTAAGATTTTCCCAGAAAATGGTAAGAACAATAGTGCATAATGCTAAGGTTTCATTTTCTTAAGATTTTAGACTAGATAATCATAATCTTAATAAATAAAGTAAGTAAACAACAAGGATGTCTAGCCTTAAGAGCTAATCAAGTTTTTAAAACTCTAAAGTATTAATAAAAAATATACAAAAATCTTTGAAACCAAACCGAGCGTGAATTCTTTAGGACTTCTTGAAAAAGAGTATTTCATTTTTGCGGGTGAGTAAGTTTTTCCCGGAAAATGGTAAGAAACATGGTCGATAATGCTAATTTGGACTGGGAAATCATAGTAAGCAGCCTTTAGGCGCTATCATGCAGGTCTCCTCCCTCCACTTACCTCGTCCAGCTTCTTGAAGCGGCTGCGCTTCTGTTTGCTGCGCTGCGACTCCTGCTCGGAATACTGGCTGTCGCTGCTCGACGAGGTGGAGCGCTTCCGGGACTTGAGGATCGTGGGCGAGTGGCGGTAGTCGCGCTCCGTGTGCCGGTCGCTGCGGTGACGGTCCCGCTCGCGATCCCTGTCCCGCTCGCGGTGCCGCCCGTGGTTGTTCACCTCCGAGGACTTGTCCCTGTCCGATGTCCGGGTGCTGGACCGCTCGTGGTCGTGGTGGGACTTACTGCGTTTTTTGTGCTTGCTCTTGTGGTGGCGTCGCTTGCCCGACGGACTGGGGGTGCGCGAACGGGAGCCCATGGCACTGGTGTGTGTGGATTGTTCAGATTAAGGCTAGGCGGAGTGCTCCAATCGGCTGGCCACAACAAATCAATGGGAAGCGATTGAAAATTTCAGTTCGATTCGAGCAATTTTCACAGATGCCTTGAAAACAGTGTGCGCAACGCCCGCAGGCTGACATAATTTTGGTATTTTCACGGCTATTTGCTTTGGTATTTTTTGCGGTATTTATTTACATTTTAGTGTTGCGAAACGCTACAACGCTGCGTTTATTTGTTTACAATCTATTCCGGTTTGTTTTGATCTAAAATCATTTGGTGGAACCTGTCTATCATGTCTTGGTTGTCCTTGAAGCCCACGCATTCCTTGGCCGCGTCCCGGGGAAGCCACTTGAGGGCGGTGTGCTCCTCGGAGAGAACGGGTTCCTGGCAGGGATTCCGCAACTCCGCCAGCCAGTAGATCACAATCTTGGGCTTCCCCTGCACCACGTAGTTGAGTGTCAGCGGCGTGTCCTTGAAGATAATCAGATCCTTCTCGTCGTAGCTGTGGGTGCAATTCAGATATTAAGGATGTTATGGTTGGAGTATGGTGGAGCACTTGCCCGGCTTCCTCTTTAGTTTCCCGCAGAGCTGTGGTGTAGTCGTCCTCGCCGGGATCCACGTGACCCTTGGGCGAACTCCAGTGGAAGGAGCCGTAGGAGGCCTTCAGCAGGAGGTATTGTATTTCCCCGCACATACGTCGAAAAATAACAAATCCAGCAGCTTTCTTCATGTTATGGCTACTAATTTGCCGAAACAGGTGTCTGACCAGTGTTAAAAACTCGCCAAAAGAGATGCTGATTCGGCTTTTTTCCGACAATTTTATTTTAATTAAATATGTATCAAGAAAATTTGTCTATTTCTCTCATGGTTTCTTTTGAATTTTCAAGAGTTTATGAATTTGAAAATACCCAAAAATAATTTACAAAATAATTTCCCTTTCAGCTACTTGGGATATTTAAAAGGGAAATTTGGCAGTGTTGGAAAACGAGCGCAGCTCTAACGTATGTTTTGCGGTTTGGATGTGCACGTTGTTTTGTAAATTCATTACATAAATTCCGAACCAGTGCATCCGAGATGTACGCCCTGCTCCGCCGCTTCGCCGGGGTGACCAGTCCCCTCAGAGGCTACGCCTCCTTCACGCCCAGGGATGTGTTGCGAACCACCGCCGAGGAGACCGGCACCCTGATCACCCGCTTCGCCAAGCACATTGCGCTGGAGCGGCACAGGGATCGGGAGCACGTGCTGCCCAAGACGACGGTGCGGTACGCCGACTTCTTTCCCATCACGGACGACCGGTACTTCCAGCGGACCGTGCAGAAGACGGATCCCGCCCAGCTGCCAGCCCTGATCATCCAGGCCTCCAGTTATCGCTCCAATGCCACCGTGCCCATGTATGTGGCCGCCATAAACGGATTGGATGACCATGCGGCCAAGCAGCTGGCCAAGATGGACACCAGTACCGTTCTGGAGACGCTCTACTCCTTTCTGTTCCTCATTCCCGGCTGGTTGAAGCGGACGGACTTCTATCAGGCGGCCATGCAGCGTTTGGTTTTGGAGGACTTCCGGGACAACAAGGAGCGCTTCGTCCAGGTGTGCTTCTACCTGGGGCTGCAGAAGAAGCAGGCCAAGGCGTCTGATGACTTCCAGCGGCTCCTCGAGGAGCAGCTAGCCAACCATTTGCCCGCCTTGAGTGAACTGGATCTCGCTGTGATCAGCAATGCGGCCTACAAAACCTCCACTTTAATTACGGGCGAGGCAAGAGGTGCCTATGAATCCTGCCTGATTAATGCTGTATTAAATTTACAACTTACCAATGGAAATGACGCCCTGTTGGTGTCCTTTGTGAAGGCCTTGCGGTTGCAGCGGGTTAAGGACGAGCGTGTGTGTCAGCATCTGCAGGATATCTGCCTGGATCCCGTGAAGTTAGCCCTAATTGAGCCCCGCGGATTGGCCCACATCTTCGCCTTCTTTGCCGAACAGCTCTGGGATAAGAAGGAGTGCTTAAACATCGTTGTAGATCGATTGATGACCCTGTTAAAACCTGGAGACCTGCGCGCCAAGGACTTGGCCACATTCCTGTGGGCCAGCGCCCAATTGAATTGTGAACTATCTCCACAGCAAGTCCGTCAACTCGAGCTGGCTGCCCTTCGCAAATTGGATCACGGGGAGTACGACTACTTCCAGGACAACCTTGTTGACACCTGCCTCTCTCTTTGCACCTTGGGACACTACTCAAAGGATCTGATTAATGCAGCCGAGGAACTGAAAGCTGCCCAACGACGCCAGCGAGCCCAGCCCAAGGTGGATAGTCGCTTGAATGTCCTGCGATCTGCTGTGGCCATCGAGCAGCCGTCAATTGGGAAACTTAAAACAGAACAGGCCTTCAAAGAGTTCGATCGTGCACCAACTTATTTGCTGAGGGATCGCCCTGACTTGACAAAATATGCCCAGGAGTTAAGTGAGGATGCCGATGTGGAGGGCGTGGATTTGGTGTGTCCCATCGTTGGAATCAATCTGCCAAGCTTGCGAGTGCAGACAATGGGCAACCAGGAGAGTGTGTACTTTGTAGAACTACTCACCGCGGAACAAACTCTCAGGTTCAGCAAGAAACCCACTTCTTTGATGCGCCTGAAGAAGAGGCTGTTGGAATCGCTTGGCCAAAAAGTAGTCGTTGTAAGTACTTTAAGAACCTTTGAGAATATAAACCTTATTTAACAGAAAATCTGATTTCAGCTCAACTCCACAGAAATGGCTACAAATGCTAGTGAACTGCATCAGCTCCTTAAACCACCAGCAGATAAACAAGTAGAAACCGAGGTTGCCCAAGGCCTGAGCAACTAAACTTTGTGATATAGGCTAGTTACAAATCGTAGCTTTATTTAACAGTGTTTTATGTACTTGTACATATTTTTTAAATATTAATAGCACTAAACATAATGTTCAACAATTAATGTATAATACAAGGAATGGGCTAAAGGTGTGTGTGGGTTCCCCCAGCGGCCCTATCGGATCGACTTGATCTTGGCCTTGAGCACAACGTAGGAAACCAGTCGGAAAATAAGAATCATGGCACCCAGCGCGATGACGTCGTTCCAGAACTGATCACCTCTCATGGTGATTTCCTCTAGGAATTTCTTTGGATACCTGTGAAACACCATGGTTAAAAATGTTGAAAATCGAAACTACTTTTTTTTTGGGTGAAAGCCAGATATCCTAGCCACTAGACCATATGGGAGATCGAAACTACTGGAAAATATCTACCTGTAATGGCAGTAAGGCGCCTCCTCGCAGGCGAGGACACCTCGATCCAGACCATATATGGCGGATATGAAGCCCTCTAAACCATATCTTAAGTATGATATGTGACTGCCCCATCTTAGGTAGCTGGGCAGATCCCGGAGGGTGACTCCAAAGCCGGCGAACATCATCATGGGAATGGTCAACACGGGAGCGAGGAAAGTGCCGTTAACGACATCGAACCAGGCACCAATCATCAAACCAAAGCTATGCCCCACGAAGACGGTCAGTAAACTTATAACGAAGAACATCCAAAAGCGGACCCACTCCATGGGCTGATAACTCCATAAGTAAACGATTACCGTGAAGAGGAAGCAACTTATGATCTTTAAAGGAAAAACTCAAATTGGCTATGGATCTCCAGGGGAATTTACAGAAGGATACTCACTGATATAGGCAAATCTACAAGAGTCATGGCAGTGTAATAAGCTTTAAGTGAGTACCAGCGGTTGAAATGCTCCTTGATCGTAATAGAAATATCCATGGGGACTGTTTAAAAGTAAATCCAATGATTAAATCTTCATAACCAATAAAAACCCTTGTAAACTTACAAGTCAGAACAGTCAACATCATGGTGGTCATGGAATGGTGCATCAGTATGGCAAACAGCAAGTTGTAGTTGTCCAGAACTCGAGATCCCTCGCGTCCCGTGTGATCGTACATGGCGCCGAACAGAGCGGCCACCGCAATGTTTACCGCGATCCTCAAGTGCGTCATGGTTGTGTCTCGTTTCGCTTTGATGTAACCCCGTCGCAGAAGCACCGAGCACTGGTTCGAGAAGCTGGTGTCCTCCAGAGAACGGCTCTTGGTTTTCTTTGGTATGGGATACTTTCGCATCAGAACCTCGGAACGCAGAACCGCCTTGGGATTGTCGAACCAAGTAAGGCAGCTTCCGTTCTCGGTGGCCACCTTAAGGGTGTCCACCTTGTCGTAGCCATATTCTCCGCAGGCCAGCTCGATAACTGGAATATTTAGGATCTCATTAGTAACTTTTTTAAGAGGTTATATCTATCTAAACTTACTGTAATCCGCTGGATTGTGGTACATGGGACAGGGCAGGTCCACCGACTGCAGAAATGGCACTAGTTTCTGGGTGCTGCCCTGGTAGACGCAGTTTCCGGCCGACAGGACGTAGACCTGATCGAAGATCTGGAACAACTTGGCAGTGGGCTGATGGATGGTGCAGATAATGGTGCGACCCTGGCCAGTCAATTTCTTGAGCAGCTCCAGGACCTTTGTGCACGAGCTGCTGTCCAAGCCGCTGGAAAAGAAAATATGAAATGTTCCCTTATCTATGTGGAAAATTTAGATGATTGATCTTACGTTGTGGGCTCGTCCAGGAACATCACAGTGGGATTATTGATCAACTCCATGGCAATGGATAGCCTCTTCTTCTGACCACCGGACAGTCGCATTGTGAGGGTCTGATCGTGATCGTAGAGACCCAGCAGCAGCAGGATATCCTCGATCTAAGTAGGGAGTTTTTGATTTATGGCAATGACTGAAAATTTAAGATCTCCTCCTGACTCACCCTGCTCTCCTTCTCTTCGTAACTGACGGTCTGACCCAGCTTAAGATCGGCGGCTATATGCATATTCTCGTTCACTGTCAGCAGAGGCTGCAGGCGATCGTCCTGCGTGATATAGCAGGACATGCGGCGGAAGGAGGCTGTATGAGGAGTGATTACCATTAAAAATCAACTGATAATATATTTCCAAATTAAATTCTACGATATACTTACGCAAATCACGTCGTCGACCGTTGAGCAGGATGGAGCCATCCACTCCTGTGGTCTTGAAACCGGAAAGGGCATCCAGCAAAGTGGATTTTCCCGCACCCGAAGGGCCCATAATGGCAATGAGCTGGCTGCCGGGGAACTTTCCGCATACATTGTGCAAGATTTCCTTAGATCCTAAAAAATTGCGAAATTACTTAACGCTATCATAAACGATCATAAACACTTAAGTAGATATTACGCTGTCGTAATATTTTTATACGGTCGTTGGTATCAAGGTTCAGGGAACCAATGTATCCGTATCTACACGTGCATTGAACGATGATTTCTTTGCTTAATTAAACGGCTAGTAAGTAGCGACTCTATAAAAAAGTAACCCTTATATTGCAGCCCATTAAAATATAATTTTTACAGAACATAATGTGCTTGAGTGAATAACCTTTTAAATACAAAAGTCGGAAAAATATTTAGATAAAGCTGAATGGAAAACTTTTGAATATATTTATGAGTAAGTAAACCTAATTTTTGATAAAAAAATTAGTTGTAAATAAACTATTATACGTTGCTACTGGAAAGATAGTTAAGTTTGATTATCTAATTTCAATTTGTTTCAATTTTTATAGATTTAAATAGATATCCGCTCATTGTGCTTATCTTATTAGTACTTAAACCACTTATAGATTGTGCATGAAATCTACTTCAAAAGGAAGATTTGAGATACATTTAAATAAAACGACCTTTGTTTCCCTTTAAACATTCTGATAACGATGGCATGATATCAATCTATTAAAGAGTTGACCACACATATTATCTTTATTTTAGTATAATTACCGCCACGGGGCGTAAAATGGTATGGTCATCAACCTGATTCCTAATCAAGTTACCAGGGGCAAAACCAATGTCGATATCAATTGCTGTTCGCTTCCTTCTGAACTTTGAAATTAGCAGGTAAGCCCTGTCTAAAAGCATAACATCGAATCGCAAATACTCTATACATTTTCCCCTGAAGAAGTAATTTCTTTATATTATGCAGACCCTGCTGAAAGGGAATTTATGAATGACTAACTGGCCATGAATATATACAACCGCCGGAATATATACAACCGGGAAGGGGGTGTGATCGGAACGATCGGGGCTTATCTAATCAATGGAAAGCCAAGTTGGTAAAAGAACTAGCAAGCAAGTGTTTATGGCTGATTGGTATGTGAAGCATTGCCGAAAGCAATAACCTTGAGGAACAAACATCTATGTATATTTATAATTTACCTAAAGCACACTCATTTATATAAGTCAATTGAAAGCTATGCATCTGAACTTGTTTTAATTCATAAATAAAACTGGTTTTTAACGTTATATTTCGAAATACTATATGGATTGTTGATCGTATCTATAGGATATTAGCTCTATAAGTTCGGTTCCTGAGAATTCTCCTCAAAGAGTAGCCGCAGATCGTAAAACACATATTAAGCGAATATGGTCATAGCTCCTAGCTAATTTTAAGTTTTCCACTGGCAATCTTATCGAGCCATATCTTAGATCAGGCGATCAAGGTGGATCGTAAATGACGCCTTCCTTGTGCTTTTGGTAGCTCACCTCGGTTAAAGCCCAATTTCACGGTGAGGGACAGCTCCTTGAACTCCATATCCACGGGTTCGCGGGCTGGCAGGTTGTTCAGGGCATCGGTATCGAAGTGGACCTCCTCCTCCTCCACGGGCTCCAATGGCGGCTGTTTGCTGGCGGAGGAACCATTGCTATAGGTCACCTGGGGCGGAGTGGGAATGGGTGGGGGCGTGACACTCGACTGGGCATTTCGCCAGCCTCCGGAATTTGCCATTGGCACTGTGGTGGTGTTGTAGACGCGACTCGAGGTCACCTCCCCGATCTCGATGCCCAGACCGAGACCGGCAACTCCGTTGTCGCTGCCGAACAAGAACTGCTCCCGCGATGTCGCCATTCTAGGACTCTAGGGGTAAACTATCGACTGAAAGGAGGAACCAAATAAATTAGCCAATAGTTCACGGTTTTTTAAAGCATGCTCCCGTAAAATCGATCGAAACCCATATCGTTTTTACATGAAATACCCTTTTCGACCAGGTCAATTTTACCTGGCCACATATCAAATTAAAATTGATCTTAAATAATGTTAATCGATCTACGTTTCATATCGATTTTTTTTGGGTGTAGCTATTAGTTAATTTATTTAATCATTATACCATTTTCTAATAAGCTTATAAAAAAGATACATATACTTTGTAAAATTACTAAGTTAAAAGCCGCATTTCATTACAATATAAACCCATCTATCAATTTGTTATTGAACAGGTTAAACACTTAGGAGACTTGTTTATCTATTCACTAGATCGATTTAATGTTTAGTAGAAAGGTATCTCAGTTATTCCAATAATAAAAGATAAAATAATTAACCGTTTGAAAGTGAAAGATGGTTCCCTGGATGTTTCTTTTCGGATTGATGGATTCGGTGGATTATGCAAGGTGCGTGACTAAAGCTGTGAGTCTTGTGTGCAACCTGTTGCTGATCAATATAAAATGTTTAGCTTAGGCCATTAAAACGGGTTCCAATGCAGCTCAAATCGCACTTTGATCGAAAGCTGACAGATCGATCAACCTTTGTCATCTATAGTAACCTCATCATTCGGATTGGTTTTGCCCGATCGCAGGCTTAGATTGTCTATTTTTATAGCAGAGCCCTAAAAGTGACAGGGGAAAAGCAACTAATCCCTAGTGATTCTACCGATTGCTCGAAGAGCTGTCAATTTGGATGGGTGGTGATGAAACGATGAAACATTTCAATTATCTG